CTTGATGGCACAGCCAGAGGGCTGGGTCTCCTGCCCTGTCACACCACACTCAGAGGCTCTGTTGAGTGCCTCGCCTCAGGATGTGCTTGATCTGGACCCCCTCTCAATCTCCTCAGCTGGCCCCTCTGCATTTCATTTTGCAGCTGTGCAAACAGGCATGAGCGGCTATCTGACTTGCCCTGGGCACACTGCCTAGATATGGCACCTGCAAGGCAGAACCATTTGCAAAAGCACAGGCACAAAATCTGTACACCAAGTGGTAGTCTCTGGGGTCAGCGAAACCTGGCGGATCAGTGTTGGCAGCTTCGCATGCCTGACCTGCAGACGTGCATGCTCCTGTCTGGCACTCACTCATCAGACCCCACAGTATTGCCCAACTTTCTGGGCCCAGCACCACCATCATCCCATCCCCAGCCACCCTGCGGCCAGCTATGACAGCAGAAGGGAAGATAAGTGGCAAGTTCACCAACATGGAGTTGGTAGCAGGTCTGGCTCCAGCCATGATATTAACTGGCTTCAAGTCATGCCACCTCAGGAAAGTGCAAACAAGGGCTCCAGCTGAGTGACACTAGCTTCCACTGAGCGCTTCCTCTGTGCTGCCCCCTCCGTCCGGGCATCATCTCATGGGACTCCTCCCAGCCTTTCTGAGATGGAGGAAGCTGACGTTGAGAGAACGTGAGGATCAGGGCCAAGCTCTCCAGGGGCACAGCCAAGTCTTAACTCCTTGTGTGTCTATTCCAAAGCCTTCAAAACTCTGCATGGTGTCACCACAACCATGTTATACATTCAGAAAGCCCTAGTTCTGTGCCTCTGCAGGGCCCTTATTTTTCACAAAGCTCCTTTCTGGCTTTGTGAAAAATAAAAATTGACAAACTTCATAGAGTTTGGTAGATTTGAAAGATGGTAAAAGTCAAACCAGTGCAAGACATCACGGCACTGATGGTCCACAAACCACTGCAGCCCCAAATGTGGTCTTGCCCCAAACAACCAAACCTGAGCCTCATCTAATTGCCAGTTTGTAGGAAGCCCAGAGTAAGAAAGAACATGTTAAAGTGCACCACAGGGACATTGCCAGCAAATCCAGCCTGGAAACCTCTAAAAATAATCCAGTTTCTTTAATAAAATGCAGTGAGGGAGGAGCCTTCCCATTTAGACGAGACTTAAGAGATGTGTTAACCAGTCACACCTGTGGACCATATATGGATCTTAATAGAAGCAAAAAAATTTTAAGTGACTGTTTAAGAGATTGTTTTCATCACTGTGACCAAAAGACGCAACAAGAGCAACGTAGAGGAAGAAAAGATTGATTTTTGGCTCACCATTTCAGAGGTTCAGTTCATGATCAGCCACCTCCACAGGTTGACTCAAGGTGAGACAGAGCATCATGGCAGAAGGGAGTGGTGAGGAAAGCAGCTCAGGAGATGGCATTCAGGAAGCAGAGAGCTCTGCTCACCAGGGACAAAACATGACCCCAAATGCATACCCCCAGGGAACTGCTTCCTCCAGTCACACCCTGCCTGCTCTTAGCCACCACCCAGTTAATCCATTCAAGTGGATTAGTTCCACTGATTAGATTTTGGCTCTCATAATCTGATCGTTTCACTTCTGAAAATTCATTGCCTCTCACATGAGTTTTTGGGGGACACCTCATATCCAACCTTATAACAGTGACATTGATGAGACTGGAAATCTGAATAGGCTCAACTGGGTGTTTGATGATACTGGAGAGGCTTTGTTTGGGTGTGGGGTGGCATCATGGTTATGCTCTTCTGTTTTCAGGGCCCTTATCTTCTAGAGATATATATGCAACTATTTAACTTAGAAAGGATAGCATGCTCTGGGGGTGTGGCCCAGTGGTAACACTCGTCTGGCATATGTGAGGCACTGGGTTCCATCCTCAGCACCACATAAAAATAAGTAAATAAAAAAAATAAAGGTATCATGTCCATCTACGATTTTAAAATATTTAAAAAAAAAAAAAAAAAAGAATGGCTTTCCTCTTAGGAAAAAAAAAAAAGATACCATGTCTATTAGTTGTTGCAAAATAACATAGGGAGGGAAAGGGAGATCTAGGTGAAAGGGGTTGGTAATTGTTGCAGTTTGAATGAACCCATGGGAATCCTTCATACTCTATCACTTTCTCTTGTATGTTTTTAAATCTTCTATAATAAAAGGGTTTTTAAAAACTACATTGGGAGGGCTAGCGCTGTAGCTCAGTGGCAGAGCGTTTGCCCAGCATGGGTGAGATACTGGGTTTGATCTTTAGCATCATATGTAAAAAAATAAAATAAATAAACAAATAAAATAAAGGCATACTGTCCATCTACAACTACAAAAATAATAATAATAAATAAATACTACATTGGTGTTGGGGTAGATGTTGGATTTAGTATGTTTTATTTTGCTTCTGTTCAGTGACTTGCATAAATGGCATGAACAGAATGAAAAAGGTATGTGTGGACCATTCTAATTGGCTCTGCCCTTGTAGGTAGCAGTTTGGCAGATGGTTTCAGAAACCTTAAAATATTTGTACTGTTTGCCCTGGTAATGTCAAGTCTGCAAATGTACCATAAGGTAGAAACAGTCCCAAATACAGTGGAAGCTTTTTAACAGAAGTGCACATCGCAGCCGGGTTTTTATTAGAGGAAACTTGGAAGCAAGTTAAATTCCAACAACAGGAGAAGGATTAAAAGATCAGTCTGTCACCCTCTAGAACTGCCCACATCACCTCACAGTGCCTAGCAGTTGAGAGCAATGCCTGTCATAATTTTAAGTAAAATTCTGATTTGAAATTATGTGCATATAGTTTTAATTATAACCATCTAGAAATTCAGAAATCTTTGGTAATAAAAGTACTAAAGTGGGGGATAGAGCTCAGTTGGTAGAGTGATTGCCTAGCATGCACAAGGCCCTGGGTTCAATCCCCAGCCCAAACAAACAAACAAAAAAAACACTAAAGGGGGGCTGGGTGGTGGCTCAGTGGCAGAGCACTTACCTAGCGTGTATGAGACACTGGGTTTGATTTTCAGCACTGCATATAAATAAATAAAATAAAGGTCCATTGACAACTAAAAAATAAAAATACTAAAGGAAGGTCCCCAAAATGTGAATGGGATTATCTTTGAATGGGAAGAACAATTTATCTTCTTTTTTCTCTAATTTTAGAGTTTTGCATAATAACATTTTTTTCACTTTTTAAGCTTTAGCTGGCTTTAAAATACCAAAATTAACTTTAAAAAATTGTAATATAAAATTTCTGATGTCTTTAGGGTGTTTCTGAAATCCACCTTGAGAAACTTAAGAAATTATGACAATTTGACAGTAGTCAGCTAGATTTGGTGTTTTGAAGAAACAGTTTTTAATTATCCATGCTTCTTGCAAAAGAGGGTTAAAATATTCAGTTAGAAATGGTGGCCCTCCTGCAGGAAGTTTGAAGCCTGCCTCCACTCAGCCCAGGGCCAGGCCACCTCCCTGGTCCTCATTGCAACACCGAGACCCTGTTATTTTCCTCCCCTCCCTCCTTCCCTTACAGTAGGCTGCTTTTGACTTAAGAGTTGCTGACCCTACCACTGTGGTTTATTGGCATCCTTATAAGTAATGATTCTCAGTCACTCAAAAAAGAACCTACTGAATGTTACCTGGTGTGCACAGAAATAGGTGTTTATTAGCGCTCCCTTAAATGTAAACAAATGTGTTGCCTCCCATTCTCACCCTACTTCTTTTCTGTGCTGGTTTAGGCATATGGAAACAGGTGTCAACCCAGCACTCAAAATTATTGAAGGAGGGCTGGGGTTGGAGGTATAAGCTTAGTGGCAGAGACCTTGCTTAGCATAGCGAGACCGTGGATTCCACCCCAGCATCACAAAAAATAAATAAATAAAGTTGTTGAAGGAGCCAGATATTGAGTTGTTCATGGGCACCCAAGAGTACTCAAGGGAAGAGGACCGCAGCCGCTAGGCCGGCCAGTTGAAAAACTGCAAGAAATAGGGAAATAAGGAAGTGTGGCCCAAGGTGGCAATTCTAGAAACTGACAGCAGGTTGGTGTCAAAGGATTGGTATTGCCATGTGGGACTGAGGCTTTTGTCTTTTGCAGACCAGCAGGGCCGGCTTTCAGCTAATTCTGTGATGTCAGGCCCCACGGGAACAACCCAGACCCGCAGGCCTTGAACGGGTCCTGGATCAGGTCTACCTCCAGGGTCTCATCTAGGAACTGAGAAAAAGACTTAGCAAAGTATCAGAAATTTCCCAAGCCCCTGGAGAAAGGGCAGTGCTGTTGCTATTCTTGGTGCTGAGTCCATCCCGAGCGAGCGCAGCGGGCTTCTCTCTCCCTGGCACATATGAAGGTGCACTTTTTTTAGGTGTTTTTTTAATCCATAATACGTGCTCAGGTTCTAAGAGAGTAAGAGCACTTAAATGTGTTTCCAGGATCATGTTTCTTTTTCTGGAGATAAAACCAAGCAACTTCCTTTTACCTTCAGACTGTATTTTGGTACTACTTCTCCACTTTCTACCAGCTGCTATAAATAGATGGTTCATCCGTGGGGTCCTCGTGCCGGCACTGACTCTCCGTATTGTGCACTCTCCATGTTCCCTGGATATAAATAGGGCCATGCTAGTATGAAAATAAATGTGCTCGCTGAGTCCTAGAATGCCAGAATTATAGGATCCTAGCCTTCGGAAAAAGATGATGAGTCTATCTTAAGATGGTAGGGGGTGGATACTTTATCTAGCAGATAGTAAACATACGCAAAAATTACCCAGAATGTTTATAAGCCAGAAATACAGATAAATTCAGGGAGGTCAGATGAGCTGGGCCACAGCACCCTTCAGTGGTTACAGGAAAATCCTGAGTTGTGGAGTGCCTCAGGCAAAGGCTCCATGTCCCTCCAGTTGTCCCCTGCAGCCTCACTCAGAAGCAGCCTAGCCAGGTAACTGTTGTTCTTCCAGTGCTGTCAGCTGGGAGTGATCTGCATGTTCAGTGTGTGCTTGTGTTTTGACAGGTGACCTTGGGGAAGGTGTTGAGAGTGATCGTGGTCATGAGGAGCCTGTTCATTGACCGAACAATAGTGAAGGGGTATAACGAAAACGTCTACACGGAGGACGGCAAGGTGAGTGCTCTGCAGTCTTGGGGTTGTGTAGTGCTGTTCTGTCTTGTTCTTTATTTTCTGTATTCCACAACAAATAGAGTCCCAGATGAATGGCATTAAAAACTAGCGATCATAGCCAAAATGATCGACAGACAGAGGTTTGTCAGCGTGAAGATGAACGTGTACAAAAACATTCCACTCTCTCTACTTGCATTTTTCATCAAGCTCCTGCTTTTCCTCTAAGCCTGATGCCCTTAGTTGAATTTCTAATTCATCACCTTAGACCCCGGCTGCCTCATTAAACATGTCTTCTGAGGAAATAGATTTTTTCCCCCCAAAGTCAGTCCGTTCATCAATAGCCCAGGGTTCAGCATTTCGCTTTTCCTAGAACCAAGAGGAAATGCGAGCTGATTTGACACAACTTGATGCCACTCTTTCCACAAAACTAACAAGGAGCCTTCAGGAAGTTGCCTACTCACAGCCACAGATGCTGACGCCACTGTGGAAGGAGGACACGTGCTGTCCAGGGTGTCTGTTCTGTGGGAGGCTCACCTGGGTGGACCCCTAGTCTCTTGTGACTCCACACTCTCCATATGGCTCTATAGAGCAGCCAGGGTCTTAATGGGAGCTGATAGCTTTCATTTGTGCTGCCTCCCAAGCGTAATGAGCAGCCTTTCCAGAGACTCCCAGGTCCTCCCAGTCCTCACGATGCCCCCTCTCAGGAGTCACCCCCACCGCCCCCCCAACTCTCACTCAGACTAAAAAGTTTGTTACTAGTTCTCACCCCACAGTGACCATGGTGCATTGAGAATAGAAGGTTCTTCAGAAACAGGTGGAAATGTGCTTAGCAAAGGACGTCGTATTACACGAGCTGCAGCCCATGGTGTAACGTCTGCGTTTTGAGCAAGTCACCCACATCCCAATGTCCATGTGCGCGCTGGCCATGTGGAGAGTCACTCGTCCTCTAGCTCTCGTCAGTCTCTGCACCAGAGCAGGTCATTCGTTGAGGGGAGATTTCCGTTTTTCTTTGGGAAAAATCAAACTGTCCTTGGAGGAAACATGGAGGCGGGGGTGAGCAGTCAGGCAGGTGTGGCCTGCGAATGGCTCTAAACTCTGGCAGCAGCTCCAGAAGGAAGTCCATGCACTGTCCACAACTGACGCCTCTCCAGGTCGGTGCATACCCTGCAGTGGGACCTGGCCACTTAGAGGTTCCTTGGGTCTCTCCAAGGTTGATGACGTGTAGTCACACCTGGTCTGACTGACAGGTGAACTGGGAAGAAGGGTCAACCATAATCAGGACCATTCTCATCAGTCACCAAGTCATGATGCCAGTGAGGCATACTCGAGCGCAGAGGAGGACTGGATTTTACCTGCTTTGCCTGATACCCTCAACCTTTCATTGATTTAAGTGCCCTATACTGAGAGTGTCCAAAACAACATACAACCAGCACTTAGCCTCTGCCGCTTGGTCAGTGCCGGGTAGACGATGGCTAGGGTTCCTTTTATTCTGCACTTAAGCATGAGCATTGGACAGCCCTCTCTTATGTACACCTCTAAAACTTCTCCGATGCCCTCTTCCCACACCGCAGATACTTCTTCTCGCCCATCTCCTTGACCTGGGGCTCCCCAGGGTCTCCCGCCCCCTCCCCTTGGCCACTGTGGTCCAAACATGGATCACTCGTTCAGACCTCCTCTCCCTGACCCTCAGATCCCACCAGGCCAGACCCAGGCTCATCGTATGTCTCCCTACACTCACTTCCCTCCTCTTCTGATGTTGGTCACCACATCACCTCCTGACTGCTGGAACTTTGCTTCCTTCATCCCCCACGGCTGATCTGTCAGCTGGTACTCGCCCATGCATGCGCTCTGCTTCAGTGCTCATCATCTCTGAGCTGAACACCTGCTCTCCCTGCCTGGAGTCCCATCTCTGGTCTCCCTTCCCTCCCAGTTTGTCCTGCCCTTGGCTTTCGGGGCCGCCTCCCTAAAATACACATCCTCACAGGTGACTCTCTTGCTTTTTACCCTCCCCTGCTGCTTGGAACAGCCCTCCCCAAAGTAAGAAAGCAGGATGGCAGTGGGCGCTGGGCTCAGAGCAGTCCACAGTCAAACAAGCTTGAGAAACACCTGTTAGAGAAAGTTGGTCCTGTTTTTTGTTTGGGGTGCTGGGGATGGAACCCCGGGCCTCATGTGTTCAGCATGTACTCCCCCACTGAGCTGCAGACTGCAGAGATCCCAGGGCCGTGAGCGCTATGTGCCTTGTCTGGAAGGGAGCTCACTGTGCGCAAGATGTTTCTATCTTACTGGGTCACCGAGCTCCTTCCTCCACCCTTTATTCTTAGAGCATATTGTGACGCTGGCATTTTTCAGAACACACTTCTGAGAACTCCACTTGCAGACTAAACCCCATCTCCTCCTCAGGGTGCGCACTGGTGACTTGGCTTTCTCCGCCTCCTCTGCTGCTGTCTACACCATCCCATCTCACTCCCCGGCTTCGGGCTGCCCAGGACTCCAGGACATGCCCCGCTCCAGCCCACCTTTCCCTGGGATGGCTGCCCCTGTGGTCCACCTGACAAGGCCCTTCTCTCCCCTTTACACTTGCCTAACACAGTCGTCTTATCTGTCCCATTGTCCTAGGGGCCTGTTATGGTGACATGTGCTCATGAGCATGGGCTCCGGAGGTGGCAGAGCTGGGTGCACCTCCACTCCCGGCACAGAGGGGTCACATCAGACTCTTGAGCACCTGTTTGCCAGTTCTAGAATTAATTAGTATGGTGTGCTTGCTTACCTGTCCCTCTTGCAACTAATAGAAATGCCGGTGACAGTAGCATGTCTTGTCTGGTGGCATGACCGTTCAGACATTGCCTGCCTGGCTGTGGGCTCCCCAGCTGTCTCGTCTCGCAGGTGAAGGAATGGGCTGTAGGGGGGTGGATCCCTGTGCCCACAGCCTCGCAGAGCCAGGTCTCAAACTTGCATTGAGCTGGAGCTCCCAAGGGCATAGACCCTGTCCTGTGACTCTGCTGTGTCCCTAGGGTAATCCTCAGTGCTTGGAACACAGCAGCAGCCTGAGCACATGTGGGAGGCACGGGGAAGCAGCCTGCGTGGAGTATGCAGTTGCGTGTTGAAGTGTCTTGCACATTTCAAATGCAATGTAACATTTGGAAGGCACCATTGGAACCTAAGGTGTGGCCTACAAGAACAGATCGTCACTTGAGTTTTGTTATTGCAAAGATGCAGCCCTGCATTGGCTGAGTTGGTGCGGAAGTGGCTGGGGGGTGGCAGTGTTTTGTTGTAATCTCCCAGAAACAGCCTTAGGGCTCTGGATGAAGCTCAGAGGGCTCGCCTCTGCCTCTGCCCACCACGCAGCTGGCACTTTCTAAATGGTTTCATTATCCCCCTTACTGTGGGAGTGCTCCTCGCCACCCCCAGGTTGCAGACCCAGCAGGGCTTTTCGCCTGCAGAACCTGTCCCAGCAAGACTCTGCTTTGCCCTCTGCAGAACAGCCACCACCCTGACGCCCTGTCTCTTCACCTGTAATGCGTGTTTTGATACCGAACACCAGTAGCCTGATGGCTCTAATAGAAAACACAAATGCTGCTCCGACTCGCCCACTGCTCTTCACTGCCATCTGGGAGTCAGAGCCGTGGCCGTGACTCAGCATGTCAAAAGGCGGGATCTAGAGCAACACCTGGCCATTGTCCCGATCCTAAGCCATCAGGCTTCACTGAAAAAATTTAAGTGTCTCAGTTGGATTTGTCTTATTAGGGGATTTAGGTTATGTTAATGCTATAGCTTCATTAATTACCCCATATCAATAAAAAAAAGGCAGCTTTTAGCCTGCAAGCCTAAGAGAGGAGAAGAAATGGTGGTATCAAAGGAAACCTTCAAAGACAGCCAGAGCTGTCTCCAGGGTAATTTCTGATCCCGCATTCTTTCACTTCAAAGTTGGGTGTGTGTGTGTGTGTTTGGGTGGAGGGGGTTGGGGAAGCTGGAATCTGATTTCTCTAATAAGTGTTGGCATCAGCCCCGTTTGATATTAGATGCAGGGAACATTTTGATTTGTTATAGCCTTTGAAATTGTTCAGACGACCTTCAGAAAAATGGCCTCTTGTTACTTCTAGGGAGAAGGGTGAAAGCCAGGAGAGGGGAATCCGGTTTAATTCCCATGCAGAGGGGGCCCTGAAATTGTGCTTTCAGCAGTTTTTTTAGTAACAAATGCGTGTCCTGATTGAAAGTGAAAAGCTGAAGAATAATAGACCTGCAACACCGCGTTCCTCCCCAGACTTCCTCTTCCTTCTCCAGGGAGGGCGGGCAGGCTTAAGGGGATGAGCACATGAAGTTTGCACGGTTTTGAAAACTTGAGAAGCCATGGAGAAATCTATCCCTGTCACTCAGGTGTCACATTCACCCAAACTGACGGGTCTGGTCACCTGTTGACCTTGCAAGACAGAGCTCCTAAATAAAGGCTTTAAAAGTTGAAACCCCTGTGGCTCGTAAGTTCTGTTTTGAAATGTCCATTTTAGATCATCTAAAATTCATTGTATGCATTGCTTTTCAAAATGAAATAAAGAATTGATAACTTTCTGAGAAGCTGCCAGAATTTCAGATACTGCTAAATGAATTTTAGTGGCGATGATTACCATGGCAGCAGGCCTCGAAGCAGATTTGCAGTGTTGAACTCTGCAGGAGAGTGCCCCCAGAAGAGCTGTGCAGGCATCAGCGTGGGGGCTTCCGAGTTGGTGGCCCATCTGAAGTCAAGCTTAAGGGCAGCCTCCGCCCCCAGGGAAAGGGGCCTCTAGACTCACCTGCTTCCAGACTCCTCCACACAGCAGCTATGTGGCATTGGACAACTTGTTTAACCTCTCTGGGCCTCAGTTTCCTCGGCTGTGAGTTGCAAATGATCTTATCAACCTCGTGCTGGGAGGACAGGTAAAGTACAGGCCATAAGACTCCTCAGCCAGCCATGCCTGGGCTCACCGGTTGTGACAGAGGAGACAGTGGTTATCATGGAAGTTAAAGTGATGTGCCAGTGATGGCAAGTCATGCTGATTGTTCTTTTTGGTCACTGTTTTCACTAGTTGCCCCTGTATAGAGAGGCCTTAGGACACCTCCTGAGAGCAGATGTGTCTGTGCTGAAGTTTTTGGTCATCCTTGGGAGAGGTGAAAATAGACCCTATTCCCACCCTAAGACACGTCTTCCCCTCCCCAGAGGCCAGGATGCTGCTCATAGGACTGCAGACTTGGCCAGCGGTCACCACAAGGTCTTTCAAATGCTTGCCAGCAAACCCAGGGAGCTCACCTTCTTACCCTGACACCGTGGTTCAGAGTCATTTTTAGTTCATCAGGCTGGAGGTGTGCAGCCTCACAATGCTCCTTTTCTGAATATTGCAGCCAGCAAAAAAACGGGTAGCCATACCCGCCCTTGCAGTGGGTAAGCTGGAGCTAATAAATATTCACGCAGCTATGGCATAGCTCCCTGGATGAATTTCTGAGATCTTCCTGGCCCTGAGGAGAGGTGGCATTGACTCCAGCATACTCATTTAAATGGCTTTCTTTGGCATAAATCTAGCGGAAAATCAAGTACAGACCACCTGCCGTGTGGTCCTGCAAAAGAGGGAGCCCATTGTTATCCACCCCTCTCAGCTGTGTGCACCAGGTGAAGGGACCACATTGTCCAAGGCCCCTGGCTCCCAGATGGTAGAGCTGTCCCTAGGGTCCTGAATAATATATTTAAACCTCCTTTGAAAAAGAGCAGCACCCTCACTTTGAATAAGCTAGGAGTGTTCTGAGAATCCACAATGAGCTGCAGAGCCCGCTCCTAATTAAACCTTTGCATATTTCTTCATAGATGATGTTTTCATTAAAACATTTTGAAGATACTGAAGGTGTTTTAAGACAATTTTGTGTTTAAGCAAACACTGATACTCTTTAGTTTGTGCAGATTCCTCTTCTGGCTCTGCGTTTGTCTTCTGCTTCCGCAGGGCATGACGAGGCAGGAAGGGTGAATGGCAGAGGGCTTCAGAAGCAGCAGCTGTGGGCTTGAGCTATAAGGAGAACTAGTTAGTCCCAAGTGCAGACATTGATGCTGCTCTTCCTAAAATGTAGATGTAGAATCTTTGGCATCTCCCTGTCATCTTGGCAGTGATTTGGGTAGAACTAAAAGATGCAAAAAGCCATTCATATTCACCCTGCAGTTCTGAAGAATCTTTAAGTGCCGCATTTGTTAAACCTTAGGCCAAACTGCTATACTGAGAAAGTAGCAGGAACCTGGCTTTGTTTCCCCTCTGTGACCAGCTGCCCAATGGTATACTTTAAAAGAATTGATAATGTGGGGAATTAATTTTACCTATTTCTTTTGAGGTTTCCTTCAGAGTTATCTTTGTCACTTTTCCCCTATAAATTGTTAACCTGTCAAATTAAAACTCTAGCGCCTGGAGTTTTTTAGACTCTTCCTCATCCGTTGGTTGAGGGCAAGGCTTGCTATGACTGCAGACTGGCCACATGGCCTTTCTAGGAAGCGATTTAGCAGGAGTGGAGGGAGGGAGTGGACTGGGGGCTCTTGTGGAGACCAGGAGGGACATGGTGCAGCCCTGGGACCTGCTCAAGGAGGGATTGCAGTGTGTTTCCAAGTGGAGGGCAGGAACGTGCCATCAGCCTCTTCTGCAAGGGCGCTGGGGTTGGCCAGCTGACCTCCTCCACCCCAGCAGGGGCCTGCAGAGCTGGGAACCGTCTTAGCCTTCTCTCCTGCAGAGTGTTCACCACAGTGAGGGTGACAGGAGACCAAATGTGAGCAGGAAAACTCTGGAGAATTGGATGAGTGCCTGGTCACAGCCCAACTTTTAATTTTCAAGGACTTTTTTTAGAAAGCCAAGTGCTGGTGTATTTCCTCAAAATAGAAGCCAGGTCAAATGCAGCCATTCCACTTCCTGTCCTCTTAGAGGAGTCTCCCCTGTGACTTGCTTCTCATTCTCCTGGTGGCTCCAAATCAACAGCGTGACATTCAGGCCCAAACAGCCCCGTCTCGGACTCCTGCGTGACCACTGGCCAACCCCAAAGGCAGGTTCCAAGAGACCCATCCTCCGGCATTTCAATTTGCTCAGCTCTTGACCTCGGATATTAAAGCCAACTTTCCAGCACTTCTGGGACTCGCTGAGAACTTCTTTAATCGTGGTCCTTGGGCTGTCTCCAGCTCTGTACTGGGGTGATTTGGGGTTTGCAATACTTTACTGCTCTTGAAATAGGGCGAAGGCACAGGTCTGCTTCATTATGCAAACTGTGTTTGGCTAGGGTAAACCACAGCGAGTTCCCAGCCCATCGGCATCAAAGTTTACCTGGAACACCGCTGAAAAGACAGATAACAAAAGGAGAGCACTCCAGGGGAGGGAGCCAGGAATCTGCACCTATTTTTAAATCCTACCTAGGGGTTCTGACCCCAGCCAGGTTTAAACACCACCAGGTGAGGCTCTCTGTAGGAAGCCTGTCCAGGTAACCTTGGCTGTTGGACAGCTCTGGACCCGGACTCCTTACCTGGAGAGTGAGGCTGCTAATGGAATCAGCCACATCCGCTCATTCTGGGGATTAAATGAACCCATGTGGAGGGTCTGGTGGGGGCCTGCCGTGGGTCAGGTGCTCGGTAGCTGGATCCTGCTAGTTTTCCTCCACCCAGCAAAGACCTACTGACGCCCACAGTGTGCTTCGGATATGGGGAGGAAGAAAGGCCTCCTGCCATCGCTGAGCTTATATTTCTCTGAGAAAATCAGATAGTAAATACACAAAGAAATGATAGCACCTCGGGCAGTTTCAAGTGCTATACATTTAAATTTTTGAAAGGGTGTAGAGAATCAAGATGGCAGATACTGGGAATGATATTTTGATAGGTAACTGATAAATGCCTCTCTGATAAGGTGACATAGAGCTGCAGGACTTATAGGAGAAGCCATGGGAGAGCTTGTGGAAAAGAGTCCAGCAACGAGCTCAACAGGTGCCAAGATCCTGAGGCACATGAGATGCAAGAACCGCAGTGGGAGTCAGGGTTTGAGCAAGTGCTTGATTGCCTGTGTTCCTCCATTTGCCTTCCCTGTATTCATCCCTTCATTTGTTTTTCTGAAGTCACCTACAGATTGATAGAGAGGAAATTTAAGCAGAACATTTAAGATCTTCAATCCCAGATCCTATTCTGTAATCTGAATGTTTTACTTTTTCAAGTTTAGTAAGGATAACAGTAGTTACGGTATCATTTCTTAAAGGCTAGAATTCTGAAATCATTGCTAATGATTTTTTTCTTTCCCCAGTTGGATATATGGTCGAAATCCAACTATCAAGTATTCCAGAAGGTAAGTCTTACTTTCTGCTTCTCCTTCAGGATGTGTTAGCAAAACACGAGGGCATGGGGAGTAAGCATTGGTCTCCAACCAGAGGCTGTGGAAGAAGTTTAAAGAGCCAGTCAAAGCTGCTCACCGTGCACTTCCATCCACATGGCATGCCAAGGAAGCAAGACCTTAGGATGGAAATCCCCAGAGGGGTACAAGGGAAGGTGCTGGGACAGTGGAAATGCTCTTTTACAGCCATGGTCGAGATAACACAGGTGTGCATGTGTCAGAACTCAGAACTGCACACCTGCTGTGGGTAGGTTTTATTATATGTAACTTACACCTTAAAAATCAGGGGCTTTGGGGGCCGGGGCTGGGGCTCAGTGGTAGAGTGCTCACCTGGCATGCATGAGGCACTGAGTTTGATCCTCAGGACCACATAAAAATAAAACAAAGGTATTGTGTCCACCTATAACTAATATAAATATATATATATATACACACACACACACACGTATATATACATACTATACATACATACTTTAAAAATCAGGGGCTTTTGAGTTGCTCCAAGGTCAATTCCATTTTGCAACTCATTTCTCAAAGAGTTCCAGGTGCCTGGGGGTGGGCTAGGGGAGGCTTCACCCCCATTTCACACTCTGCTGGTAGCTTAGTCAGGCATTGGGCTTCCTCGTGGAAGGTGTAAGTGAATGTTATCCCCAACAAAGAGGGACGAGAGAAACCCCAGTCCCCAGCTCGACATTTCATCTTCCCAGAGAACCTCCACACGCAGGGAGCAGGGAGGGCTTCCTGTGGTGCTTCCTTCATGGCAGCTCACCTTGACCCCTGACTCATTTGCCATGATAAGGGGCAAAGACCTGAGCCAGGAGTAGAGAAGCAGCCTGGGGCTGGAAAGCACACCTTTAGGGAGCCTATACATGTGAGCAGCCAGAATTCAAGAACTTACCCCAACTAAGTGCCGTGAGACGTTCTTGATTAGATCTGTCAACAGCAGGTGCGCGGGCTGGAGTGCGTTACTAGCGAGTGTCCAATGCTGGTCCCTTCACAGTGGAAGATGTTAGCAACAGCGAGCAGAGGAGGGGGCTGGGCCCCCGTTGGTGTCATTTACACCTCCTTACAAATACAGTGCTCCCAAGTCAAGAGAGAGTCACTGAGAAAGCCACTGCCTTGCCCTGCAGGGAGCTCATGCCTAGGCTTTAGTGCCAGGATAGCATTTGTGATCTTGGCATCCTTATCTGAGTCGCCACACCTAGAGCGGTCACTTGGACATCGTGCAGAACATCTCGGCCTTAAGCGCTAGCTTTGTGTGCTGGCTCGCCAGGCTTTGCCCCTGGCTCTTGGCTGAAAGCATTCTAGAGAGAGAATGCAGCTCATCATTGGCATCTTGTTTTGCTGGAACGGTGAGGGACATTTACAACCGCTGCTTTTTCCTTTAACCTGGTTCTTATCTTTGTGTCCTCTGTGAGGTGGCAATGTTACCTTCTCCCAGCTCCACAAAAGCCCTGTCCTTCACCAGGCAGGAGCCCTGCAGCCCAGACCCTGGACTTTAACATTGGTCCCATTTCCATTCCAAAGCCCTTTATGGCAGTGGGGGCTTTGCAGTTCTGGCCTTTGCATAGCTATCCCTCCCACACAATTTCTGGTAAAATTAAGTGTTTTTGAATATAGGCAGAAAGTTTAGTAGGGAATTGGGAAGTGTGTGCAACGTAGATTTGGTGATGCATAGATTTAAAGAGACAATGCTGCATCTTTATCCTGCCTCTCCTGAAAATGACCTGCAGGGGGTTCTTTGCATTTATTAAAAACTCCAAACACACACAGAAGCAGTGTTTAGGATTAATATCAGTCTAGTTAGAGAGGGTTAAGAGCACCCGCAGTTCCTTCCCTGTAGTTGATGCTATGTTTGAAGCAGTATGGTTGGGGACTGTGTATCAGCTGGGGAGGGCACAGAGTCTCCCGAGATTCCTCTGTCATCTCTGCCTTCCCCTGTGTTTAACTAAATGGACTTGACCTCCAATATGACCTGTACTAGATTAAAGAATCACAACTCGGGGCAGGTGACAGTGCCATCTGGTTAGAACTAAAGGCGGATAACACTGAAGTATTTTTTTTCCTTCCAGCAGTTAAGAATTAGTAGATGGAGCTGGGCATGGCAATGCACATCTGTGATCTCAGCAACCTGGGAGGCTAATGGGATTGCAAGTTCAAGGCCAGCCTCAGTGACTTAGCAAGTTTCTAAGCAACTTAGAAAGACCCTGTCTCAAAACAAATAAATGAAAAAGGCTGGGGATGTGGCTCAGTGGTTAAGCACCCCAGGGTTCAATCCGTGGTACCAAAAAGATAAAAGGGAATTAGTAGATGGAAGAATCCTCATCTCTTCCTATCAGAGCATTGCCTGATCGCTGCCAGATGAAGCAATGTATTAGAAAATAATACAGCACAGAATTAGATTAAATCCTTTCTCAAAAAAGCTTCCAACTGGTTCCCACCACATGAGCAGTTTGGCACCTTGTCGGAAAGTTCACGCTCCTTGCTTGCAGAAGGTAGTGGTGGAGTGATCATGCAGAACAGGCAGTCAGGGTCCCTTCCTGGGAGCTGGGGTGCACTATGCTGGTTTCACTGTGTTCACCTCAGCCAAGGTGAGGTCAGCCCAGTCAGATGGTGGCACTTCCTGTGCCCCAGCCAGGCCTGGCACTAAACAGAGCTGGGGCTGTTTCGTCTGCGGCAGACTCTGAAGCCTGAGCAGCCTGTGGGTGATGGTTAGCATCTCAAACTCAAAATGCCAAAATAGAAGGATCAGGCAGCAGTGTTCTAAACTTTGCTTTTTAGGACCAGCTATTTCTCAGAATTCTATTTTCTTCCTGTCCACCCACTTAAATCTGGGGTGTACTGATTGATGCTGCTTATAGCATTTTCCTGAAAGACCTTGTTCAAGAGCATGGAGGTAAACATTCCCTTTCGCCCCTAACTGGCCTGCTTGCACCCAGCCATGTAGACTGGCCAGGGTGGACCTTGTTACCAGCATCGTCTGGATCCATGCATCAGGAGGTGGTGTGACGTGCACAGGAGGCTCTGGGTCTTCAGTAAGGGGGTGTCTCAGGCAGAAGACGGTGCCTAAATGTCCTGACAGTGGTAGATGCACAGCTGTGCCCTCTTCTGAGAGGGGGACTCTTTCCCCACCACCCTCTCCACACAGCTGGCCTGGGGTAGAGCCCCAAGGCTGCGCCTCTCAGGCAGTCATCACATGGCTGTATTTACTGGAGGGGAAATGTTCCTGCTGGACAGTAGCAGCATGGCCACTAGAGCCTGCTAGGAAGGCAGGAAGCCCTCAGAGGTCGTCTCCTCCCTGTGATCCAGGAGGGGCGGTGGAGGGAACTACCTTGCAGAGCCAAAACTTTTCACTTCTGAAAAATGGCATCAGAGGCTAGACAATAGAAGCACACCCCTGTCAGATTCTCCTGGGGCCCATGCCTGCTCCCTAGTTAAAGCCACAGACCTGAGGTTCTATAGCAAATTCCACCATGGGAAGCAGACTTTGGCCTCCTTTTGTCTGCAGACGTTGACTGTCAGCGAGCCCTTTCTGTCGTGCTCGTTAGATCCTGTACCTGAGTGAGGAAGTGGCCGCAGGCCGGAGACAGCTTGCTGTGGGGCTGCGGCTGCTGACAGGTGCCTGCCATTCGCTGCGCTCCCCCAGAGGCTTCTTGCGCTTCATCCTGGGGCGAAGCAGCTTTTCATAGCCAGCAAGTCTCCAGCAGAGTAGATTCAGAGAATGGGACTTGGAAATAAGGGGACCCTCTGAAAGGGCAGAATCACAAAGGCCGGGAAAGGTTTCAAGCGTGTTAGTATTTTTCTGACATTTAAACTCTGCAGGGGCAGGCACTGTTTTGATCTTTAACCCCCTCATTTCACAACAGTGTGCACTTCCCTCCAGCAACTCAGGAGCGGGAGCCAGCCTGCAGCTTCTCACTGCGTTAATCTTGGCGGCAGGTGGAGGGCTGGGAGAGGGTCAGAGCCGCTCAGGTAAAGGGCAGAGCAGCTATGGCCACAGAGCTCCAGCACTTGCGCCACAGTCATTCTGCCCACAACAGAGGGGAGAGTAGCCTGCTTGGGCCTGCTCTGTCAGGACTGGCTGTGGACAGGTGGACTGTCCAGCAGGGTGCTGCCACTCCTTCACCCCTGTGTTTGTTCACGCGTCCATTTTTTTCTTTGTTCTTTTCACTTACACACGACAGTGGCGTGTGTTTTGACATACACTCATACAGGAGCATAACTTCCTGTTCTGTGGTTGCACAGGACGTGGAGCTACACTCGTCCTGTGTGCATGTGTGAATGCAGGAAAGTGATGTCTGGTTCATTTTACTGTCTTTCCCATTCCCATCTCCCCACCTTCCCGCCATTCCCCTTCATCTAATCCACTGGACTTCTATTCTTTTCGCCCGCCCCCACTGTATGTTAGCATTCGTATTTCAGAGAGAACATTTGGCCTTTGGTTTTGGGGATTGGCTTATTTCACTTAGCATGATGATGCCCAGTTCATGCTGGCCCTGTGAAAGACCAGGCCCTGTCTGGGGACAGGCTTTATCCAGGATGTTTACTGAGCGGTCACTGGGTGCTTTTCAATAGAAGGAACTGAGTGAGCTCTCTAAGACCCAGTTCTCTGAAATGTTAGTGGAATCCCTAGTATTATTTTGGGTGTGTTGAGGATCTGCCCCTGCAACCTAGGCTAATTGAAGTCCTGAAGCACAGGAGCCTTCCTGGAGAACGGAGCCCTCACCAGCTGGGCTGGGTAACCCATGTTACCTGAGCACATCTGCTGTAGCACCTCACACCACCCAGACGCTCAGGAAACTCGTGAAGGACCTGAGAGAGTCCAGAGCTGAAAGTCCCAAGACCTCAGGCCATATTGGTCTGCATCTTCCCAGGGCCCTGTGTAGGAGACTCCCACACCTAGAGTGCCCACTGCCGATGACCACCCAGAAGTTGGCAGAGGGTGTCTGCTCTTG